GATTCTGAACCAATGTTTGGAACTGACCTTTCTCTTCATAGCAAGCAACTGGGGTTTTGCCAGCCTTGGAGGAGAATTCTGATGATGTCCATCCATCTCCTCCTCCTCTTCTTCCTTTTCCTCTTCCTCTTCCTCCTCTTCTTCCTCTTCCTCTTCCTCCTCCTCTCCACTGCTTTCTTTTGGTAGGTCTGTGGACTTATCTCTCTCCATTACTACGGTTACATTTTCTTGAGGTCGCAAATACTTGCTTTTAGACTGCGCTTTTCCAGGCAATTGCCTACTACTTCTTGTGGAGTACAGTTCTTGCTCTTCTTTCTCCCAGCAACTTGCCTGCTCCATCAATCGCTCAGCCTGAGCAGCAAAAGAGTTAAAATAATGAATCACAGGAACAACGTTCAGCTATCACTCATTCATGCATTGCTCTGCATTAAAAATAAGTTACAGGTTAGCTCTGATCAGTGCTAAAAGCTACCACAGCAGCTGCCTCTCAGAAGGTTCCTCTTAGCAGCTCTTTTCCCAGAAGGAAACAAACTGAAGATTGCATTTTATGGAAACTTTTGCATCATTAATGAGGCAACATTGACTTTAGTTCTTTTTAGCGCTGCATTATGCTCTTTGATATGCAATTTCAACCATCTCAGAAGCGTACAGCAACCAATATTAAAACTTTTTGAACTCTGCATCCAATCTCACTGGAGCCTATGCATTTAAGAGCACTTGGGAAGCAGTGAAAGCAGTAAGCAAAAATTATTCCTGTTTGCTCTGCCTTTACAGCGCGCCACAAATTCTTAACAAGTGATTGGGCACTTACTAGCAGAGGTCAATAGTATAAACTACTCTTTATAACTCAATCATACACACACGTTTTGTTCTTACAGTAGATGTCAGAGCTTCATTCCACCTCTAATTCCATCTTAGTCTCTTATCCATCTCTTTCTCCCTGTACCTTTAACTAAATACCCGGCAAGCATTTTGGTCATCTCTGTGCTTTGCCTGCTGCTTCCACCTCCTCGCTGCTTCTTTCTTCTCAGACCTCAGTACTCTCCCTTTGTTTCAGAACTCTACAGCTAAAGTCATGAATCTCTCAATTGTCTAGAAAATCTCACTAGGATTCTCATTTGTTTCCTCTTTAAAGCTCCACATCGTTCTTTCTTTCTCATGACTCTGCCTGCTCACTTAGACTGACCCACATTTCTTGGAGCTCCTTCTGCTCAGATGTCCTTCTTAAATTATATGATGCTTCCCTCTGTTTTCCAGTGCAAAACATACTTAAATCTTCTATCTGAAATTAACCCTTAGAAGCAAGAATGTCGCCTCATGATCCACAAAGAGTGGCTATAGAAATCTGTTAAATGAATGATCCTTTCCACCCACGTGTTTTCACTGCTTCTCTCTCACCACAGTCAAATTTAGAACATCACCCCTTTTTTTAATGTTACAATTGTGGTTGTGCTATATATACTAACATACCTACAGAAATAAATCAACCACATGGAACTTGTTGGAAGAACCGTCATGGCAGCCCAATATAACTTTGTGTGTTCTGCCCATCATCTTCACTTATCTACTTTTACTTCTTTTGGGGAGGGGGCTGTCACATTATGGGTTGGCTATTACCTCTTTTTCAGCTTCTCTCTCTTCCTCAGAAACCGCTGCATTTGGAACCAAAAGAGGTGTCCACCTCAAGCTTTCTGGGTCTACTTCATTGATGCGTGGATTGCTTTTCAGTTTCTCCATGTGACGGGAGATCAATTTCTCTCTTCTAATTACCATAAATCTATAATATAAACATATCTGAAGTTAGAAGGGAAAAATACAAATAAACAGATGAGAGTGTACCTATTTGCTGTATGGATGGGTCTGGAATTAGAGTTTAGTTTTTCTTGAACACATTTATAGCCCTCCTTTATGTAGAAGCCATTCCTGCCAAAGCATTTGTCCTATTCTTGTGATAGGACCACATCCACAGGTAAACATAAGTCAAGCTCCCTGGGGCAAAGAATTAAGTTTTATCTTTTTGCTGCCATCCAAAAATGATAGTCCACATTTTTACAATCTGGACAATGACTAGTTGGCTATTCTCTATCTCCTTGTTTTTTAACAAGCAAGAAGGGATGGAAGATTAGAAGACTAGTTAGCTGCAGTGAATGGGGAAACTGCTAGACCTAGGAGGGCTGTTTCTAGTGCACGCTGCTCCTGCTACTGATGGAAGCAAACAAGCTCAACAATTAGTTGAAAAAAAAGATTCACCCTCAAGTGGATTGCAAGAAGAAGGGTAGCCTCCCTTCTCCTTTCTTTCTGCCATTTCTTAGTCCAAACTAGGGGAGAAGAAAGAGGGAAAATGGATCCAAGAGACAGCCACAAAATACTGGCACGTGTTCTCCAAAACCAGGAAGCTAATGGGAGATTTCCTCTTTTCCATGGACCTTTGACGTTTGCTTCTGAGACTTTTCACAATCCAAAACACATCCCTTTTACTATATGGACAAATTTGAGAATACTGTACAGGCAAGTGGCAATCTTTGTGGGGGTCCTTCTACATAACAATTGGAAAAGGGAGTGCTATGCATGCCATCCTGCAAAACTGCTGGCTCCATCCCACTGCCTCCTCCCCGGCCAGACCCAGTGAGCTCCCTTCGGTAGATGAGGTTCTGCCACCCTGCTGTGCTTGCCTCCATTTCGACTCACCCCACCTGCCTAGCTCCCTCCCAATTTCTGCCCTTTTGGCCACCCTGCACTCCGCCCCTGCTACTCCAGCTGACCTTTGCCATCTTCTTCTTCCTCCTGCTGACAAGGCACACCAAGACAGCAGCTGGCCCTTCACAACACCCTTGTGAGGCCTCCGTGACACTTCATCAGCAGCGGGAGGAAGAAGACAGCAAAGGTCAGCTGGGGAAGATGGGGAACAGCAGGGGTAGGCAGTGTTGCAAAGGCCTCGCGGAGACATTGCCCAGGCCTGGCGAGGCATGAAGGAGGCGTCGAGAAGGGCAAGCACCTGCCTCGGCCAGGTGCACCTCGTCAACAGCAGAAGGAAGAAGATAGCAAAGGTAAAGAAAAGTACCACTTGTTCAGTGCCATCACAAGTTTGAACAGTCGCTGAACAAGTGGTCATTAAGCAAGGACCACCTGTAGATGAAATTAAATACTAGGCATTTATGCTTAACAAAAGTGAGCAAGAGTTTCTCTCCTGCAGTTCAGAAGCTGTTACTGACTTTTCTTCTCGCCTGTCAATCATGCTGTGGTGCTGGAGGGTGGTAGCAATGTCATGGGGACACATCCCAGTGGCTCGGCTCATCCCCTTGATGCTGATCTGCTTCTCATGGTGGCAGTAAAGATATTCCAATATGACACTTTTCCAATAAGCCAAGTACGAGACACGGCCAAGATCAGACAGTGGCTTTTCAGGTGACCCCGCCTGGCCCTCTCTTCGAGAAAGTAGGTAACCTAGCAGAAGGAACCAGTGAAGAATCACAATGTGCCACTCAAAGAGAACTATGAGAGTTTAGGATGCATAAACCATTCTCACCAACCAATATGACTCTCTCTTTTCAGTATATTTTGTTCTGAGTATGAACTGGTAGGGAAAACAAATTAGCTAGAGGCAGAGTTCAAGCCAGGTTCATAGCTGACAATGAAATGAAGCTTGAGTTGGAAGAGGTGCTATTTTAAACTCCTGTCATACTGAATATTGGCCTTTCTTTACTCCCCCCCCCCCCCCCCCCCCCCGGCTGACATTCAGGAAAGCATTAAAAACTTGGTTTTTCCAGCAAGTTCTGGGTTGGGACAATCTGTGAGCTGCTTGAATAGTAGCTATTTGAATTTTTGTCTATTCCCCAGTGCACTGTTATTTTTATATTTGGTCCTATGTTGTTTTAGTTTTATTGTGTTAAATAATGTTTTTAACCCATTGTATGGTGCCTTGAGGCATTTTGAATAGGCAATCCTATAAACAGAATAAACATTTTTAATAGAAACATCATTTTCTTAAGACAGTTCAATATTAAATATGGTCACAGTGTGAATATATTGCAACATCCTCTTTTAATACCCGTGGATCTTGAAGCTCACATACAACCCTCACAAGCAGTTTCAGGATAATCCTACTGATCCCTCTGTATGGCAAACCCATTTTATGCAACACAACAAGTAACTGATTGTCAAGATTTCAACCATTTTAGTTCAAAAGATACTTGAATCATGTTTTGTTTTTAAAAGTCATATTCATTACAGTTTGGGGGGAAATCTAAATACATAATGAAAATAAGTTCATGGTACAAGAAAACCATAATTTCACATCCTTTTAAATTTTTTAATTAAAAATTCAAATTTTCAAGAATAATTCCACTTGTATATCACTACAATTTCAAAACTGATTAGAGAAGCACGCATCTCACATAGCAGAAGAATCTCTATCGTTTCTAATTCCATTTGGGGGGGGGGAGGCAAATGCTAAAGATTTTCAGAACAGCAACTTAGAGAATTTAATTGAATAGGCTTATTACTCCCCACTGGTTCAAGGGTCTCTCAAGACCTTACAGGTAATCAACTTTTGACTATTGGTTTAAAAAAAAAAAAGTGACTTACGACCAGTCCTCACACTTATGACCGTCACAGTGTCCCCGCGGTCATGTGATCAAAATTCGGGCGCTTGGCAACTGGCATGTATTTATGATGGTTGCAGGGTCCCAGGGTCACATGATCTACAACCTTTCCAGCCACCTTCCGACAAGCAAAATCAACAGGGAACTCCTTGATTCACTTAACAACCACGTGATTCAGTTAACTACCATAGTGATTTGCTTAATGACCGCAGCAAAAGATGTGATAAAGTCATAAAGTCATGGGCAGTCACGTGATGCCTCGCTTAAGAACCACACCGCTTAATGACAAATTTTCTGGTCCCTATTGTGGTTGGAAATTACCTGTATTTTCTTAATTTTCCAATAAATCAGTTCTACTTCTCAGAAAACATTAAACGTTCAAGACAAAATTACACATGATTTGTGAAGGCTCCTATATACCCAAATCCCTAAGGCAGTGTTTTTCAACCTTAGCAACTTTAAGACATGTGGACTTCCACTCCCAGAATTCCCCAGCCAGCTATGAGGAATTCTGAGAGTTAAAGTCTACACATCTCACTAGGCTGGGACAAGGCACTACTCCCCCTTCTGTCTTCTGTCTTCTTAAATGGCTCAAGCCCCAGCCCTTCCTCCAGCATGCTCCCCTCCATCCCACCTTCACCCTCATCACAATCGCCCTCTCCACACCAGCCCCAGCTCCTCATGCTCTTCTAGGAGACAGACTGACATAGCCTCCAGTGGGCTGCAAAATTCCTGCAACCTAGTCCATCTCAACAGTTCTGGCCACACTGGTTGCATCAGATCCCTTTGGGACATGGAACAAATGGAATGGCTGCCTTCCCCTTCTGGATATGAAATTGCCAATGTGGCAAGATGGCTCCTGCAATCCAGGCACATCTCTGTAGCTTCAGGACACTGACTGGACTACCAAAAGCTGCCAGCCAGCTCCTGCTGCAGACTGATGCCAGCCTTGTCCATCCACAGCCCTCCAGATGTCTGAGGCTAGCTCAGCCCAGCTAGCTTGTTCACCCACCAGACAACCTGGAAGCTTATCACCTCAGGCTGGATAACAGGATAGCCATATGGAGTAGAATCTTCTTGGGGCCTCCATCAAGGCACACCAACAAGCAGCCAGGTGAAAACCTCCCCCAATCTGTTATTTATTTTAATATGGCATCTGGCAATATTAAACGGTTCCTCGCCTTTACAGACTCCACCACAAGCTCAGCCCCAAAAGCAGCTGAACAGAAACTGCTGCCAGGCAGCCGCAATAGCTAGCGCTCTGTCAAACAGCTGCTTGGCAGTTGTGCAAGTCCTCAGCTGGGCAGCGGTTCCAACTGTAGTGCTGCTTCGCTGCCAGGGCCATCCATCCCAGCTTCACTCCAGCTGCCTCTCCTTGGAGGCCCAGTAACTGCACCAGCTCCGTGGGTAGCCCTGACTGTCCATGGCAGCTGGGAAGCCAATCCAGGGCAGTCCCTCTCCATCAGGAGCCCAAAAACACCAGCACCAAAGACGCAATCACCGGACTGCCGGTAAGATGATCAGGAGGATCCTTCAGAAAAACAACATCCAAACCCTTACCTCCACCACACCCTAAGACCAACAGCTAACAAAATCCTACCAACCCAGCCACCATAGTAAAAACAACAGTCTTCTAACAAAGAATTGTCATTATTTAAAATAAAATGTAAATTAATTAAATTAAAGAACCGCAATCAAGCTTCCAAGAACAGTATTCAGCTCAACTGTTAGGTTCACTGCCCTGAGCCAGTCAGAAAGGGTAAATTATCACTGCTCTCTGGGGAAGAGGGGGGAAGAGGGAAGAGGGAAGTAGCATGGTTATTATACTGTCACTGTGAATTTTGCTTAAAAGAAACAACATCATATAGATAGTAGCTCTCCAAGATTTGCAAGAATGCTCATTTTAAAAATGAGTCTGCTACCTATCCAACCTTTTAGATATTTTCTTATATGGCATGATCTCTTGAGAAAACAAAAGCAAGCTGAAGAGAGCTTGCAAAACTAGGAATAAACTAAACGTTGGTGGCAGAATTGTTCTGTTTGATATTGCCACCCTTATGAAACCTTCCATTATTTCTGTCCTTTTTATTAGATAAGTGTTTGGCTATTTCCTCTCCTGCTTTTGATGCCCAGGGAGTAATTCTTTCAGTCACAATCCATGCAGCTGCCCTGCTGTACTTGGAGCAAGACAGAGGTCCTTCACCAGAGAGAAGAGCTGTTCTGAAAGGTTAACGGTGGGCAGGCCTGACTACTGGATGCACCTACTTCAATTTAACAGGCCTTCTGTGTCTAAATTAGTATCTTCAGCTGCCACTTTAGGCCACGGTTTGAGGATGGGGCACCGCCCAAATGCTAAAACTTCAAGCCAACTGGAAGATGAATAAGACATTTGCTAAGTTAGGCAAAACATCACAATAAAAATGATTTTTTTAAAAATGCATTATTTTTACTCAGGGCTTTTGATGTTCTATGTCTACTCTTTTAAATGAAATTTATGTATAAAAACTAATTCATCCTTGGAAGACCTGAAAGGCCAGGTTAGGGACAAATCATGGAGAAAATCTGTCTATGCGGTTGCTAAGAGTCAGTACTGATTTGATGGCATATATCAACCAATCAATAAAAACTAATTGTTTTAACCTGTTTTTCCTTACCGCAAATACTTGTTTTTAAAATGGTTGTCTTTGTGTGGTTCCAATTCCACCAGTATGTCAACCTCAACTTGGTTGTATAATCCTCTGTATTCTTTGAAAATGTCAATCAATGGCTCCTTTCAACTTTTCTCCATATCTGCAAATGTTCACTACGCACCCTGGGAGCTCCAATGTTGTTCATATTATAATGAAAGCAGTTTGCATATCCTGATTAAGCAGAATCTCATTCCAGCTGATCACACTTGCAGGATTGTAAAGAGTACCATATGGAGTTAGAAACTGAGTTACTAGGGCAACGTACGCAGACCACTACAAAGACGGCCATGCTGCTTTTCTTTGCCTCATTATACAGCTTAATGATATGCAATGATATCCTACTGTGTTTGGTTTCTGTGTCAATGAAGTTGGAAGTTCACAAAATGATAATCAGAAGCCAAAATCCCATGTTTCTGTACTGTGCAGTGCAATAGTCTTGGAAAGACAAGCATTTTTGTTGAGAAAGGAGTAAAAATGAAAATTTTCAAAAGCTGATTATTAATTCCAACCAAGCTTGCTCAGACTCCTCCCCCCCTCAAATTCTATCTGGGACAACAAAGATTATGAGCTCATGAGTTCTCATATTCCATTCTTAACCCCAGCATCCCTAGCAGAGAGAAATTATAAAACTAAGTGATCTTGCAGGATCTCCTAGATATTAAATGACTGTGTTGGCCTGTTGCAGAGCAATGAAATCCCCATCCAGATGTGAACAGATGACTATACAAATACAACACAAACTCTGGGCTCATAAATACTTTCATTACTTCAGTTGTTCTTGTGGATTTAGATGCCATCTAAACAATCTATTCAGTTATCAGTTGCAACCTATAATTTTTGAATAAGCTCCTGCTGAGAAGAACCACATTTCTATTATACTTTTTAACTTTGTTACAATGTATTACAATAGCTTTTTGACTATTGGAAATACTGATCTTGTCAAAAATATTTTAGCAGTCAAGTTACACAATGTTTCTAATAACATTGATGATTTAAATAAATTTAAAATATTAAATTCACTTGGTTGTCCTTTTATTTGGTAGTATGATCATTTATATTAATTATTTAAATTCTGAGATTTGGGGGTAACTATTATTTACCTGTTGTCTTCTGTAAACAATTTACAGTTTACAAATACAGCATATTATACAAG